AAAAAAAATGTCTTGAAAAAGATGTGACTATTATCATAATACCTGTTATCTCTCATTAGGATTTGGGGTTTTGTGGAGCCACCTAATGTAAATCAAAGCTAAAATCATATAGTCAAAATCTGGCATTATTGTAGCTTTTCCTATAACTTCACCAAGGGGTTAATATGTGTGTGTGCCTTTTTTTTTTTTCTTTCAAAGTGTTTAAACAACTACTGCCTTGTGTAATTTGCTCAAAGAAACTGCTCATAAGCCTTGTTTTTTGCAGACGCTGTGGACATTTTCATCTGATAAAGCCTGCAGACAACGATAAGCAGTAGCTAACATCTTTTAAAAAAACCCAAGCTTAAGTGAGAGAGAGCAGCCATCGCGGGGCACTGGCTAGGGCCGTGTCCACACTAATACGTTTTTGTATGAAAACGCATCTTTTTCTCTCCATTTTGGCCTTCCGTCCACACTCAGACGGTGTTTTCGGTCAAGGAAAACGCAGCGTTTTGAAAACGCTTTCCAAAGCTGATACATTTGAAAACGCCGTTTTCGTGTCGCAGTGTGGACAGCGAACCCGGAGCCTTTTCAAAAACGATGACACATTTTAGTCATGTGATGCAGTCATGTGACCAATTAAACTAAGATAGCGGAAGGCATTATACAGTAGTTGATTTGTTTGATCTCAATTTTGGCAGACAGAAATGACACAGGTCGAATCATCTTGCATTTCACATATGCGCAGTACTGGAAGCGTTTTCGGCCGTTTCAGTGTGGATGCAAAACTCTGTGAAAGCGATAGTGTAGACACAAACACCGTTTTCAAATTTATCCGGGCTAATGTGGACGTAGCCTAGTAGACTCTCCCGGGACAGCCATGGGTTTAAATACCAGTCAACAAAACAAAAGGCATTACACAGCTGTTGTTAATAGCTTTGAACTTCCCCCAAAGAAAGAGTTAACAATCCCTTATCCCTTGTCTCTTTCCCCACATCCTAAAAGAGAAACAAAAGACTTCACCACCTATAGAATCTTTCCCCACACTG